GATGTGGTTGGATCCTCTGATGCTGTTGCCAGAGTAGATATGGGGACAGAGTAGGCAACGAGGTTTGCTACAGGTGTAGCAAACCTGGGTTGGTGTTTCTGTGGTGTGGTGTGTAGTTGCTGGTGAGTATTTGCTTCAGGTTGGGGGGTTGTCTGTAAGCTTACAGGGCAAGAAGCTCACACGGCTTCACCTCCTGGGTCTGACCTTGGAGCATTCAGCGTATGCCCCTCCGTGTGCTTCCCACATCAAGTCCGCCCTGGCGGGGTCCTGGGGAAGCCAAAGGGTTCTGCACGCACCCCCCACTTCGCAGTCAGACGTGACTCTTAGCCAGCCAGTAAAACAGAGGTTTATTAGATGACAGGAACATGGTCTAAAACAGAGCTTGTAGGTCCAGCGAACGGGACCCCTCTGCCGGGTCCATTCTGGGGCCCAGCGAGGCAGACCCCCGTCTGTCCTCCCTTCCAGTCCCCAGCTAGCTCCAACTCTCCAACCCCCTCCAGCCCCTCCTTCTCTGGGCTTTGTCTCTTTCCCAGGCCAGGCGGTCACCTGATCTCTTTGTTCACCTTTAGCTATTTCCTTGCAGGGGGGGAAGGGGCCCTAGCCATTTGTTGCCAGGGAGACAGAATGTCAGTGATTTATGCACACTGGCCTTTCCCCACCACCTAGAGACTTAAGAAATGCATAGGGGAAACTGAGGCACCCACACCTTATTCAGAGGAAACATTAAGAACAGTCCCACTTCGTCACACTCCTCTTATTACAATAGCACCTAGAAGCCTCCGCTGAGATCAGGGCCCCATTGGGCCAGGCGCTGCCCAGACACACAACCAGAGACAGTCCCTGTCCCTGCTGAGATCACAGACTCAGAGCGAGAGACAGAGAGACCAGAGCACCCTGGTGCGGGCAGCTGCACAGGCCAATGGAAGAAAAAATGTGAATGATCACAAAAATGTGTGTTTCTGTTTTGCTGTGTACAAAATGGAGCCGTTTCCCCAACTTTTGCCCCAAAAAGTTTTGGGAATTTGGTATTTGAAACTTTTGCTAAACTTTGAATCAAACACTCCCTCCAAATTTTCATCCATTGTTTTATCTGCATTTTGATCAAATATGGTTCTGTTCAGCCATCATAATTGTCTGTTTCCCAAAAACCTAAACAATTTAGTTTGCCAATCTCCCCACACACACACCATTTTCTGTTTAAAAGTTTATTTAACTTTAATTGATTATAATTTTCAACAGTTGCCCCATGGGCGGCGGGTATCGTAGGACGGGGAGGGCTGTGCCTCCCCAGCCAGGCGTGGCCCCACCCACACTCCGCCCCCAGACTCCCTCCTACCTGCTTCCAGTTCCCTTCCCTCTTCCGAGGCTGAGAGGCTGGGGCAGGCAGGCTGGGGCCGGTGCTCGTGAGGCCAGGGGCTGGGCCGCTGGAGCTGGGGCCATGCCACGCTGCCTGGCGCCAGGGTTGGGGGCACTCTGGGACTGGGGGTGCACAGGGGGGGAGGCGGCCGCAGGTGGTGAGCAGGGACACCCACAGACACAGAGCAGGGCTCAGCTCCTCCAGCAGGGGGCAGCAGGAACACACCCACCCACCCACCAGGGCTCTGGGCTCCGGCGGGGAAGGGGAAGGGTCGTTCTCGGGCAGCGAGGGAGGGGCCGGGGACTAGGCTCCCCCAACAGCTCTTTCACCCACCGCCCATGAAGTGCTCTTTGAAAACACTGTAGGTAAAAACTTAGGTGAAAAATGTAATGAAAAGTCCATCAAAGAGCTAATTTTGAGGGGGGCAAACCAGACAGTTTTCCTGATGATTAAAAAATATTAAATTTCAACCAATTGTATGTTATTTGAATGGGTGCTTCTTGGCCTGATGACAAGTTGATTTGCAATGTCATTCGGCCGCTAGATAGCTCTGTGCGCTGGACAGAGATACTGGAACCTGGTCAACAAAGTGGACCCAGCTGGAGCACGAGCTGGGAGCTTGTTTATTTTGGTTGGACTTGCAGAAGGACGGTGCTGGGGTGGCATGGCCTTGCAGAAGGACTGTGCGGGGTTCAGCGATGGTGCATGGGGGACTCTAAGCCATTCCCAGGCTATGTAATGCGTAAAATGGAGTCAAATGCACCTAGTACTTACACACAACAGTGATGGAGAGTGGCAGGGAGGTGGATTTCCCTAGGGTGTTGTGCACCTCACACTGATACTCTCCCCCATCAGCCACCTGGACGCCTGGGAAAGCTAGTTCCACGAGCCATAGCTGTTCAGTCAGCTGCCTTTGTAAGTTTCACTATCAATCCAATTCTTGCTTAAATCACTGTTTCAGTATTGTAATTTCTGTTCACCATTTATTACACTTGCCTACAGTGTAACTTCTTTCAGAGTAGCAGCCGTGTTAGTCTGTATCCACAAAAAGAAGAACAGGAGTACTTGTGGCACCTTAGAGACTAACAAATTTATTAGAGCATAAGCTTTCGTGGACTACAGCCCACTTCTTCGGATGCATATAGAATGGAACATATATTGAGGAGATATATATACACACATACAGAGAGCATAAACAGGTGGGAGTTGTCTTACCAACTCTGAGAGGCCAATTAATTAAGAGAAAAAAACTTTTGAAGTGATAATCAGGCTAGCCCAGTACAGATAGTTAAAGAGTGTGAGAATACTTACAAGGGGAGATAGATTCAATGTTTGTAATGGCTCAGCCATTCAGGGGCTCGTTCACCTGCACATCTACCAATGTGATATATGCCATCATGTGCCAGCAATGCCCCTCTGCCATGTACATTGGCCAAACCGGACAGTCTCTACGCAAAAGAATTAATGGACATAAATCTGACATCAGGAATCAAAATACTCAAAAACCAGTGGGAGAACACTTTAACCTGTCTGGTCATTCAGTGACAGACCTGCGGGTGGCTATATTACAACAGAAAAACTTCAAAAACAGATTCCAATGAGAAACTGCTGAGCTAGAATTGATATGCAAACTAGACACAATCAACTCCCGTTTGAATAAGGACTGGGAATGGCTGAGCCATTACAAACATTGATAATTGCTCTTTGGGAAT